CGTTCTTCTCCCTTAGATGCCTATATTCCATCTCCGTCCAGTACTTCTCCCACATAACATGTTCTTCCTCCGCCTAATCACGCCGCAAAAAATAAAAAATGCGGCACGATGTATCTCCTACTGCTAGATTTATTCTTGTTCACGTAACTGGATCTCCTTGGCACGCTTACCGCTGCTGCCCTTGTATTCCAAATGCTGTCCCTGGATCTCCTTGGCGCGCCTGTCGCGGCTGCCCTTGTATTCCAAACTCTTACCCTGGATCTCCTTGGCACGCGCGGGCAAAAACCGCCCTGCCGCTGCTGCCCTCGTATTCCAAACCCTGTTCCCTGGATCTCCTTGGCGCGCGCGGGCAAAAACCGCCCGCTGCTGCTGTCCTTGTAATCCAAAAGCTTACCCTGGATCTCCTTGGCACGCGCGGGCAATAACCGCCCTGCTGCTGCCCTCGTATTCCAAACCCTGTTCCCTGGATCTCCTTTGCGCGCGCGAGCAAAAACCGCCCGCTGCTGCTGCCCTTGTGTTCCGGTGCCTACCTCCCGAACCTTTCCCTACCGACGTCAGCTGACTACACGATATCGTGTTTGGGGTGTCGGCGCGTGTACTATGTTATCACGCTCGCGGGCTCTTGTCGAGAGCGTGTTGCACAAAGGAGTGACTCAAGTTCCTTGATTAACTATTAACGAGTGACAAGCATGAGCAGCAGGCAAGAAGGACCTGCTGCTGCACACACGTCTGCATATACCCAAACCTATCATATCTGCGTACCCCCTCGGATATCTCGGAGATCTGTATCCTGCCGAGTACATACACAAACAAGGTGAACACGCCCGAGGGGCTTAGACGCCCGCGCTCCCGGCCCCCGCGGCACCGCCCTCGGCTGCCCTTCGCCCTCATGCAGTCCATGCACGGTTCCAGCTTGCCCGTGAGCACGATGCCTCTCTGCTGAGCAGTTTCTCGCAAAAGCGGCTCGCAAGCGTGGGCATGGGAGCGGTGGAAGCGGTTGATGTCAACAAGACTTTCAGTCGAACCAAGAGCAAACGGGGACGCACCAGGGCCAAGCGCGGCCGCACCCAAGTCAAAATCAGCACCCCCCCATCAATGCTATCCAAAACACCAGCCACATTCGCAGCGTCACTCTCTGGGATAAACACGAGGAGAAAATCTTAGTACGGGGTGTCATCATAGCCATCCATGAGCTGCTCGTCGGTGAGCACACTCGTATCTCCAAGATCCATACCCGGAGAAATACCCACACACACAAACTCGGACGCCGAGGAAGGTACTACGTCGGCAGAGCCGGAGGGCGGGACCCTCACACTCGCAGGTACTACATTGGTGGGACCACTGGGCGTGACGCTATCAGCCGAAGGTACTACGCTAGCAGAGCCAGCGGGAGGAATACGCAACACGGACAACAATGATTTCGCGGAGACCCCCTTTTGGGAAGGGAAACGCGCAGAGCCAACGGCGGGGGCGGAATCGGGGGCAGTCACGAATGCGGGCAACGCAGCAGGGTCTACAATAGTCGCAGATGGGTCGTACGGCAACCACATGACATACGCTGCCGACGCTTTTGAGCACCACGTAAAACAGAACCCTGATGGTTGCCTGCAGATCGTGATAGAGCTGGTCCGGTATGAACCGGGTCTTGTTCATCCTGTACACAAACAGGAGGAGGAAGGCGACTCGAGCCAACTCTCGGAGGAGCTCGGAGATCGTCTTCTCGGGGGTCAGGANGAAATACCCACACACACAAACTCGGACGCCGAGGAAGGTACTACGTCGGCAGAGCCGGAGGGCGGGACCCTCACACTCGCAGGTACTACATTGGTGGGACCACTGGGCGTGACGCTATCAGCCGAAGGTACTACGCTAGCAGAGCCAGCGGGAGGAATACGCAACACGGACAACAATGATTTCGCGGAGACCCCCTTTTGGGAAGGGAAACGCGCAGAGCCAACGGCGGGGGCGGAATCGGGGGCAGTCACGAATGCGGGCAACGCAGCAGGGTCTACAATAGTCGCAGATGGGTCGTACGGCAACCACATGACATACGCTGCCGACGCTTTTGAGCACCACGTAAAACAGAACCCTGATGGTTGCCTGCAGATCGTGATAGAGCTGGTCCGGTATGAACCGGGTCTTGTTCATCCTGTACACAAACAGGAGGAGGAAGGCGACTCGAGCCAACTCTCGGAGGAGCTCGGAGATCGTCTTCTCGGGGGTCAGGAGCACATCCAGCAGGGGCTCAGTGATGGACGCGAGAACCTGGTGGAAAGGGAATAATGATACGGGTGTGGCAAGAGGCAAGGGCGTTGTCAAGAACGCTGCCGGCACCGTTGTATTCCTTTGAGCATACCTTTACTGGCAGTCTCATCAGGAGAGGAATGGGACCTGTTCCTTTCATGATGGCCCGCGATGGCCAAAGTATGTAGCCAGTACGGACAGGGCACGCAAGAGTGGCGGGTAATGCCGAGATCCTCCCGTGTTTCTTACCTGCATGTCTTCCAACGCGGCCTGCATGGTCGGACTCGCGTCCAAGCCAGCGAACGTCGACTTGTCAGCAGCAGCAACCGACACGACCGGCTGCATCATCTTTACCGCCAACGGGACGTTTGGCCTGCACCGTGTTGAATGAAGCAAGGGACAAGGGGACCACGGTTCATTTAGAGTGTTGGCGTGTACACAGGGTATCACCGGTCACCGGTAGAACAATGCCATGTTAAACCTCGTATCAAATAGGACAACAACCGCGGTGTGTAGTTGAATCATCGTATATAAATGGCAGCACATGCAACATGTGACGCACTTGTCGACCACATTGAATGAAAAGCTGCGTAAAATCCGTTCTAGGAGACCACATGTTGAACAACCGAAGAAGCGTATGCTTGTTCAAAGCGAAAGCCTATCCCCCGCGATTAGCACACCCATCTCGCTGTATAAACGCGTGCAAATACGCTTGGCGTTGTGCTTCTGGTCCATCGATTCCGCCCACGAGCCCTTACTCATCAGCGGATGCATCATCACCTATTCCGCCAGGGGTTGTACAACGGGAGCGAGGGGATTACTGGTCATCTCGTGAAGCATGCCCCGCCGCACCGTGTCTCCGTCAGTTGCCACAAGCACTATGGGGCCAATGACATCTCGGAAACGTGGGTCTTCGGCACACACCCGCAGTATCTGTTAGTGCGATAAATTTAGGGAACAAGATTGGACGTGCTTGGAGCTGGGTCATCGTCGCGATGGGATCACGATCATCGTTGTCATGGTCCAACATCAACCAATCAATCTCGAAATCCGCCCGTGGTCGCACACAATCGAGGAGAGCCACCACCAAATAGGATGGAATCACGCGACGCATACTGAAGCCTGCGAACAAGTTACAGGCGCAAGTTTTTCCAGATTAATGGGCGCGGGAGAATGCAAAATAACCAGAAGCATCATCGAGGATGCAATGTGCATGGAAACCTCAAATTGACCTGCACGAAGAAAAACTTCCTAGTCTTACCGTACAGTGACCTGCTCACCGTCTCAATGACTCGTCGCTGCTGATCCGGGTTACTGGCCTTGCAGCTGCTGAAGGACACCACGGGGAGAGAGTGGTTGGGCGGACTCCTGAACCCTTGCTTTTTCGCTACCGAGGTGGATTTCTCCTTTCTTGAGCTTCCCTCCGAGGCGTTCCACGTGATTGATGTTCTTGAAGTACACATTGGATTCCCCTGTGCATTGCGCACACAATCCCAGAATCTGCGCATTGGGCGTAAAATCCAAAACACATGAATCGTTTAGGCAAGCAGCGCACTCAAGGAACAGCGTTTGCGTGTGTCTTCGAGAAGCTAACATGCGAGAGTTTCGCTGAACCCGCAACTACGCTACGAAAAAGAGGGTGAGTGCCTGACTCACGGTATCGTTGTTCTGGTAGTGCCTTGCGTGTTTCTCCTGGGCGATCTCGTCCACTTGGGATTGGAACAGACGGCTCCTCCCGCCGTACACTTCTACCACCGCTTGCAAGTTGGCCATCACCGCCGGCTCCAGGATTTCATACTTTAGCGATGCACACGGTGCAAACGACATCTGCCGGGCACCACCCAAGACCGGATCGGGATAGCGGAAATTGCGTGGATATTTCTATTGCTCGTGATCCAACTCAGTGGTTACCTCCACGGATAACGACCGGCGGCCTAATTGGGCAAACAGATGTTGAGAGGAAAATGAACCTTCGCGAACGGAAGGGGTCTTTGGAATATTTTTTGTGAAGTAAAGGTCGCACATGTCCTGCCACCGACCACCACGTTGTAGCGCTTGGGATACACCCAACAAGCACGCTCCCACTCTCCAGCCCGCATGCTCACTCACATGGCGCTTCTTCATCTCAACGTAGACGCTAGTGACGCTTGGAAGACAAAGCGCCTGGGACAAGGAGAAAAGCTGAGAGGGACCTCCAACGCGCAACACGAGCATTGCCAGATCCAAGTCGTCTTGAGTGTGGGCGCGTGCACGATATCTCCCTTGGAACGCGGCTTCGAGCGTTCCCAACATCGCGATGGGCGACTTGCCATCCTTCAGCGCTTGCGCCAACACCCGCCGCACACCTGGGATGTCGATATCGCCGTGGAACATCATGACCTTCTTGTACTCCTGAAGCTTTCTGCCGATCCGCGACGCCTGTCTTTTGAGGTTTAACATCAAGAGACGACTAGCGTCCCTCGCAACGGACAAATTCCGCGCTCTACTCTCGATCTGGTTCATGTTCGTGTACTTGTAGTTGAGACTTCGCCCCTGTTCGCTCTCGCTGAGCGGCTCGCTCGCTCGACGATAGCTGCAAGAGGCGAAGCGTCGAGGGGGGCAATCAAATAGCTTTACTCGAAACTCGTAAAATAGCACACAGCCGACATATCTTAGACCTGAGCAGATTGAAAGAAAAGCAAGTCGGTCCCAATACAATGCACGCAACGACAAACACGAACTACGCCCATCAGCCGCATTGTGCGATTCTCTGCACCTCACCTTTGACAAGCCTGTGGTACTGTAGTTCCTGGTACGAAATACAGCTCTCCCCGTAGCTTGCGACGGTCCCTTCACACCCCGCTGTTAATCCTCCAGCAGCGGCAGTCGCGAACAAAGCCACAGATTCTTGACGTACAACCGCCACCCACAGTTGGCCATCGTCGATCAAGCCGAAGGGGTAGTTCTTGCTCATGGGGAACTCCAGCTGCGGCACGTACCCACGACATGATGGCCTTGTTGTCGTAGATGGTGGCGTCATGGACGATGCCGGAGGTGGTCTCGGTGTCGTAGATGGTTGCGTCGTGGACGAGGCCGGCGGAATGTCTACACGTAATACTCGGCATTCATCGTCATCAGCTTCCCCGGTTGAACTTGTCGCATTCGTGCGAACGATTCGCCCCTCCTCGTCCGTGGAAAGCAATGTTGCAGCCCCCGCCGATGCCACCGCCGCCGGTGCCACCGCCGTCGTTGCCACCGCCGCCGGCGCCACCGCCGCCAGCGCAGGAGCCGGTCATACTAGCGGGGGTATACGAAGGACAGCAAAGGGGTCTGATTACTCTTGCCTCCACTCGATCGTCTGAAAGCAGGTGAATGACGCACAGGGGAATATGAAACAGCGCTTAGCGTCAGCCACCCTCATCTAGATAGAGTCCTTGCCTGCACGACCTAGATAGCAGCACACAATAGCCCAGCCAAGCACAATAGTAAAGACAAAGTACATCGCCAATAGTAGCCGCGATTTTTCAACTGTGCTCTTGACCGTTCGTATGCTGGTCGACGTTTGTTTGTCTTCGTTCATTTGTCACCATGTTGGATATGCTTGCCACACGAGCAGCTCCAGTGTCCTCTGCTATCTTTCGTCGCGATTGCTGCCACCGCCGTGTTGGAGTTGGCGCACTTGTCGGTTTCATCGCGGAGCTGCCAGACAAAACACGTGCAGGACGGTGGCCGGCTAGCTAAGTTTTACCAGGCCACAAGCAGAACATATACGAACACCCACCGTCCATTCAGCAAAGCTTGGTCGCGGTCACGATCACCTTGAGGTGCTCGGTTCACAAGCACCACTTTGTATGTTGCTTTGCCAACAAAACACGCAGACCTGACAGCAGTTTTATTTACGCGGGAACAGAACAAGATTGGCTTCAAAGCAGTCTTCCGGCGCAACATACCAACCAACCAAGTTGAACTGCTTTATAGTCTACATTCAGCAAAAGATAAGATACATACAGGCAAGATACAGCACACAAGCACAGCAACAACAATCCTCGGGTCAACGCCTACAGCAGTACTTCACCAACTTGAGTTCACTGTAAAGCATTGCCGAAAGCACGCCGAATGGATGGTGTTACATGTTGCGGGTGCTCTGTACAGCAGTAACGACAGAGAAACGGGGAATAATTTGTAGTGGTTCCGCCAAGCAAGCTTGGTTCCGCGAGCAAGAAACACTCCTTACCGTAGGGTACACAAGATATCGCACCCCCTGGACCGATATTCTATGCTCAATTATTCCACAGTAATACAAGGAGTGGCGATGCCAAAAAGGGCAGCGTTGGAACTGCTCCGTCGAGGCTATTCCGAAAAATGCTTGGAAGGTTTTGATTTTGGCATGCTCTTCGTGGAGTGTAGTAGTCGAGCTTTGAAAATCGGTCCAGGGGGGGGTGGTATCTTGTGTCACCGACGGTACTTGCGGACAAACCGATCATGCTTGGAAAACCACTGTTCGTGGGTCTGCGAACGTTGGTGTTGGATACATGTGCTGAATGATTTGGTGTCACGCAGACTGGTAAATTGCCGTTTGGTAGGGGGCACCGCGATGATTCACGGAGCCCCTCCTTGCTGTCGGAGCCGCTCATTGAGCACTCCCTCTTTCGTCCATGTGACGGACGGTCGTCTACCACTCGTGAAGGTAATACATCACCAAAACAGTCTCACCCGATAAATAAGTGGCGTAGGCCGCAAACACTCTAGAGTTTTGTGCCCCTCGAGGTAAGCCACATTGGGGTGAGCTCTGCTGGAGACGAAGAGCGCACTGCTACAAGCGGAGAACAGATCCGCCCGCCGGTGCAGGAAGGCAGCGATGCGGAGCTTGAAAGTTTGCAACTGCAGGTCTCACGATTGGCGGCCCTGGTGGAGGAGTCGATAAAGAAGAAGGAGCCTGGCAGCGTTGTGGCGGATGCAGCCAGTAGGGGCGGCTGGGTTGCCGCCACCGGAGGCCAAGAGCCCCTGCAGCCGCACGGCGGAGGCGGGGGATTTCTCCAGCAGCAAGCGAGCGATGGTGGGCAAGGACCACGTCAGCTGCTGGAAGGCGGCTGGGCCAGCGGATCGGGAGCGAATCCTGCGAGACCAGCCGGAGTGGGCCCGGGCATAGGACCGGACCACGGGGAAGCGAGGGGGTTGAACCCCCCACGTGAGATACCCGTGATTCGAGGATATGGAGAATTCCTCGATGGCTACAGCAGTAGCCACATGAAGAGAGTAACAGTCAATGCCCCGCGTCTCGAAGGGGAGACTTGCGGCCATGGGTATGACTCGTGGAGAAAGCCGCTTATCCAAGCGGCCAAGACTGTAGGAAACAGGGTTTTCGCACGATTGAGAGCGAAGTTTCCGATTGAGAGCGAGAACCAAAAAAAAACGAAATTCGGGTCCAGACGCCTCCCGTCATTTCTCGGGAAGCAGGGGACGGGCTCTTCCAAAAAGCGGCGCAAATTGAAGCTCTCTTCAGCAGCTTCGCGTGCATATGCGTGTCACTGCGATCGGCTGCAGCAGCGAGGGGCTACGCACGTTGCTAGATTTCCCCAGATTGGCTATTCCTGCCCGAAACTGTTTCAGGGCGCCGTCGCCTGGCGCGGTAGGCCCTCCCGTAGCTTCTGCTCCGCGGTGTAGCTCCACAACACGAGACACCCGCAGGATGACCCGGGTATCGGCTTTTAGCCATGGGCAAGCCCTTCAATTCAAGCCGCACAGCAAGCTCTACCTCTCAGCAGTAGACAAGCTACATCGTATCGCACGATCTCGCTCTCAATCAGATACTTCGCTCTCAATCGTGCGAATATGTTGTTTAGGGTCCGAAGTGCCCTTTGATGACCTTTTCGACGTTTCGCCATGTGCCCTCACCGGGGTCCTCCCCCTCTGCGTCTTCAACGCAGGGAAACTCCGTGTTCAGGAGCTCCTCCTTTTGCCGCGACACCTCTGCTGCACAAAACGTCGACCGACAGGAGGAAGGGCGACCCATATTGCACATGCACATGCGCGGTAAGAGCCGNTGTTAGGACTGGACGGCCAATTGATCGGCAACAACGAGAGACATGCACCTGCCGGCAACCCAAACGTGCCAAGCTCGGAGCTGACCGCCTCCAATACACCAGCGACGAGGTCCAGAGAGGCCTCCAAGGGTTCGTGTGACCACTGCCATCGTCAGAGAAGCCGACAAGGCGATCGTGAATGTATGCGAGACCGCAAAAGAGATCCTCGCGGAACTCGACAAAATCAAGTACTTCCCACAAACGCATCGGGGTGGACCTCCCAATGAAACATCATTTCTTTCGAGCTGTCAAAGCCGGTTTGGCGAGAGAGAGCAAGCTGCATATCGATGGTAGAACGCGACGACCCATTTCGTGGACCATTCTCCGCAGCGGCATTTGCTCGGCAGCGGGTTGGGGCGAGGGGGGGGGGTGATGTGGCTAGCCTTAGCGGTGTCCTATTATTTTGTGTGCCGCCCAACGGAAATCTTTGCGTACAGCAACGGTACGATTCACAAGGAGTTCGGGGTGACGCGCGGCAATGTGGCGTTTTGGAACGGGGAGGTGCAGCTCCTTACTCCGGAGGTGCAACTCCTTTCTCCGGCACTGTGGTGGTGTGCGGATAGAGTAGAGGTGCTGATCGAGGCGTCAAAAGGAAATCATGACGAAGCAGTGGTGTCGCGTGTTAAGACGTGCCCGGGGTTCGCGAAGTTCGACTGGGAGTGGGACGGGACCGGTGATGTACCGACGGGGATGGTGGGCATTAGCGGGGTCGAAGTTTTGCTGGAATCGATGTGCTGCTATCCGCAGCTCGATGAGATGACCCTCATTGCTGCTTACCCTGCTGCCAACGTTTGGAACATTTGAACGTGTGCTCAATCGTCGACAGCTTTGCGCGCTCTCGTGGCTGGTCAACGATTGAAACCGGAAGAGTACGACTAGGTTGGGGGCGATGGGGTTGTCTTCGTGGGCAATTCAACAGCAAGGGAGGTGGAAATCAGACGCGTTTCAATCGTACTTGAGGGCCAATTTGGATGATGTTCAGAAGGCGCCCTTTGCGCTAGCGTCCGACGCTGTAGGGAAGAGGAGCCAGCCCGGGCAAATGACGCGGTGGAAGGGCGCACAACCTAAGCCGAAGTAGCGTTTCGGGATTTATTTTTATTTTGATGTCATTTGGTATGTGAGGAGGTTAAACTGCTGTACGTGGTCATTTTTTCTCTCGGAGTCTACGCGGTCTGCTGTTAGTCGCTCTTGATATGGGAGGCAACAATTTATGGTCATGGTGGATAATAAGGTGGGGATGGGGGGAGCGAGAGGGAGTCTGAAGGTGGAGGTTGGGACAAGGGGGGCGGTATGGTGAAGGGAAGGAATGAATTGGGGGTAGGGCGCAGACGAATGGGAAGGGGGGAAAGCAGGCTGTTAAAGTGGGGTAGCGAGATGAGGTGTGATAGCCTGCCTAGGTTCACGTCTGTGTGTGGTGTATGTACAAGGAACCCGGGCAATATTTGACGTGGAGTAAGCCTGGGCGACGTGATGAAGTCGGGGGTCCACGACTCAAAAACAATAATAACTCCAGATTCATGAGCAAAACAAAGTGTAAGATTGGACGAAGGAAATCTGGGGTTTGAGGCGCGGGATTGAATCGTACAGCAGTGGCAAGGTAGGCAAGAAAATGCGGGGAAGTTTCATCGGAGATTGGATGAGCACGGTGGCGATGACGTATTGGAGTACATCTTCAGCAGCAGCAGCAAGAAGCATAAGAAGAGTGCACACTGCAGCTGCTCCTGTGAGACGAAGGGGCGATCTGCCGTAGAGGTCATCACGTGTGTGTAAGGTAAAGGTCAGGGGTGGGCTTCCGCTAGGTGATTGGCCGGAAAACCCTCCCGCCCTCCCTATCGGGTTTTCGTGAAGGGGACCAGGGGTAGCGAGATGAGGTGTGACGGCCTGCCTAGGTTTACATCTGTGTGTGGTGTATGTATGCATGAGGAACCCGGGCACAATTTGGCTTGGGGTAAGCCGGGGTGACGTGATGAAGTCGTGGGGCTCCACGACTCAAAAATAATAACTCCAGATTCATGAGCATAACAAAAAGTCGTTATCAGGCGAATTTCGTTCGAATTTATTTTGGTGAACACGCAATCTATCATAGAGCTCACGAGCTCACGCATCTTGCTGCATTTATTTTTCGATTTTTTTTTATATATGCATAGTCTAGATAGATCTTCACCCTTCTGGCCCTGGGCTCCTCGCCGCCAAAAAAAATGACTACCCTGGGACTGTCAGCAGTGTGTGGGGTTGGCCAATCCGCACGCACCAAAAAGTACAGACGTGGTGCTGATGTACTTCTGACGCAGCTGAGCCCTAGACGCCCAGCGGCTGTCCCGCGACCCCGCGACCGGCCCAGCACTTCAGTATGGACATTAGAAGGGGTGCCTGTCGCTTTCCTCCTCAAACACCAGTGCTGTACACCTCTCCAAAATCGGCTGGTCAGCCTTGAGCAGTCTATTTTCAGTTGTTGTTGTTGTTGACTTCACATTAAACCGTATGCCAGTTGCTAAATTAACCCTAAGTCTATTTTCAGTACACTTGAGTGATCAATTTTTGCTTGCTAATTGTGATCAATTTTTTCCCGGCGAAGGGTTTTATGCCCGAATGTACTTCTGTACATCTCGCCCCCC